TTGGCACAGATAAAGTCGTGTCTTATTTATACTCTGTTCTACTGACAACAGGCCAGCGAAAAATCTAACAATCTACAGCAAAACCATCAATTATTATGGGCGTTATAACATAGGTGTGCAGCTGAACGAAACATACACGTCGAACCCCCCCAGACGATTTAAATCCCTGACGAAACATACACGACGAACCACGGCAACGGGTTAACAATGCTGTCATTATCTGAGGCTATATAGTGATGACTAGTGAATAGTGAATTGCAAAGAATTTGGAAGGAAACAGCTGTGGTCTAATTTGAAGTACTAAGCTGGCATTTTCCTGAAAGCACTAAGGAATATAAAAAAATATCAGCCAGTCATTTACGGGGCCTCCATTTCTATGACAGATATTTTGACACTGCATCATATCCAAAACTTATTTTATATCAGACATGACAGAGATCATGGACCAGGTACACACAAGCTCACTTCATGCTGCCTGTAATGTCCCTAATGATGCATCTCGAAACCAGTCTTATCAGTTAGGACTCCACAATGTTCTGAACACCACTCTCCAGCACCTATCCATAGCTCATGACAGCACATGGAGGTAGAGAAAAGGCAAAATGACAGTACTTCAGTACTTCAGTGTTACAACAACTGAGCAATGCCAATATTTCTTAGTTGTATTCAGAAGGTTCCCAGTTTAAGCCTTGGCCAGGAGACTGACAATCCAGATTGGGGACCACTGAGGTCCTCCTCCTTGCTTCAAGGCCAGGACAGTGCCTCATGCCATGTGACATCAACACTTCCTTCCCTAATCATCCTATCAAGTGATGCTCTATAGAGTGAGGTACTGGCAGTCTTATTAAATTATATGGAAATAAATAAAATAAAACATACACAACAAGTAACAAAGCACTGTAACTTTACAAATGCTGTGGGAGCGGTCACGAAGCATCTGCTGATGAATGTGTGTGTCTGAAAGTGCACACATGATTTCTGTAGGGGTTGTCTTAGACTTGGAGTCATCTTATATTAGGTAAATAAGACATTACTGCAGACAAACTCTGAGATGAATATGACAATAAGCTGTACTTTTCCTTTTACAGTGAAACCAATATTACCTTGAATCCTTATGAAGTTCCACTCCTGTTGCTTCTGTGTTAGGTTCAATGACTTTATCATCATCTTCTACCGCCTCTACCCTCTTCCTGAGTCGAGCTGGTGGACGATATACACGTGCATGCATCCCACCCTGATCCAGCTCTTTCTTCACTATCTTCGCTGTCTCAGAAACAGTCTGGAAGGCCCCAGTCTTACCCAGCCTCTGACTTTGTTCTGACAGAGTCTCTGCAGCTCCACGTGCTGACCTGCCCAGTTCTTCTGTCAGCTGCCCTGCAGGGACAATTATGAACTACAAATATTCAAAGCAAAGAATGATGAACCATTTCAGATCCTTCATACAACACGATACTTGTCTTTTCTCACGACTTGATCCCATACACTCGTGCCTTCGTGCCTGTTCACTTTCACTCTTGTAAGTCTGCTGTCAACGGAAAACTCCTTACATAAATACACAGGTATAAAAACATGGTTACCTTGTCACCACTGGCAAGAGAACAATTTGGACTGACAAATGATTTCCCACTTGAAATTCTCGGTTACTTTTAAGGTCTGGGCACTCTCACTTGGTTACGATAAACAAACCCTGAACAGAAACAGTCATCTATTTTAAATTCAATTTCTTTGTCATCTTATGCATGGTCTCCAGGTGGTTAGGACACATACCTGTACATACTACAGCGACATGAAGAAACTAAGCAGGGGGAGACACATTAAGATGTCTGGTAACACTGATCCACATTTTTCTGGCAAGTGAAATATTTACCTGGCTACCAAATATTTAAAAAGTCTGCATCCCTGTGTAAATATCAAATAATGTCTACAAGCATCAATTCATCATATATATAAATATGTTTCATTTTTAATTAGCCACATATCAGACATGTTTCCTGCATCTAATGAAGTAAACTGAAGACTCTCCATGCATACAAACTGTCTTGCAAAGTTTAAATACATTGCTGTCCATTGAAAACAGTGCTCAGCCACTTCAATCCAGTTCATATACCGACATTCTACTCCCATAAGGTTCATTTTAATATCATCCTCAGTCTTCCAAGAGGATTTCCCAGTCTCATATGTTTATGTACATTTTCTTTACCCCTCCCAACTTACATTATTTATCTAGACACTTCCAATAATTCCCTGTACAATTTACCAATGGTTGCATTTATGTGCAAATTTTCTGTGCTTGCAATATAAAGAAATTACAGTCTCTGAAATCTTATACTATATTGATACTAAAGAGATCTATTTTTGTAAAATGTACCAAATATTTTGCAACAGTTAATAATATGAAAAGTGGATTTTCTGTATTTGTTGTTACTACAACGTGGATATTTTAATTAGAATGGTCAAGTCAGTGAAGATGAGATGGGGAGGGCATGTGGCATGCACGGAAAAAGAGTAACGCATAAACGGTTTTGGTGGGAAAGCCAGACAGAAAGAGACCACTAGAAAGATCCAGACATATGTAGGAGGATAATATTCAAATGGATCTTAAGAGAAACAGGATGGGGTGGCAAGACTGGAATAATCTGGTTCAGGAAAGGGACCAGCAGAGGGCCATTGTGAACAGTAATGAACCTTTGGGTTCCGTAAAATGTTAGGACATTCTTGTATAGCTGAGCAGCTAGTGGCTTCTCATGAAGGACCCAACTCCATTGAGTTAGTGAGTTAGTTAGTTAGTTAGTTAGTGTTAATGTAGTTATACCCAGAACACATACAGTTACTCACACTCCATCAATCTGCAAGACCTTCAGTCAGCACTCACCAGCTTTTTTGGCGATGTCAGATTTACTTGCTTCCTCCAAAGCTTCTTGTACCTTTCCCTTGATAGACCCCAGTCTATCCTTCAATACTTCAGTTCCTTTTGTAGCCTCTGATTCAACTGAATGAAATTTCTGTCTGCAAATGAAATAATTTAATGTCACAATGTGTACAATGAAAGGAGAACATTTCAAGCAGCAGAATAAGCTTTACTGGACATGCAGCAAGTGCATCCTGTCCAACTGGGCTTAACTATGCATTTCTTAAATACTGATACCATTACACCTGACTTCAGATCCAGCTGCCAGCCCCATTAATACCAGAGAATTTAAAATTCCCTATTCTCAGGTGCAGGGGTAGTGGAGTTGCTATAGCGACTGAGAGGTAGGAGTTTGAGTCCTGGTAGGGTCAAGAATTTTCTTTTCTCCATGTTGTTCAGACCGGTTCTGGGGGCCACCCAACCTCCTATCCAATGGGTACTGGGTGCTCTTTGCCCGGGGGTAAAGTGGCTGGGGTGAGAGGCTTATTACTCACCTCTAACTAGTGTCGAGGTCAAGAAAATGTGGATGTATACACACACTCCCCCATACGCCTTCATGGCGTAGTGCTTAATTAACCTTTAAGAGCCTAGTAACACCGTATGGAGACCTTTAAAGTGTAGCCGAGTGGCCATGCGACACCGGATGAGTACACACAGTCCATGCGTGCGCACAGTGTTTTAAAATCTAATTTTAAGATAGAAATTCTTGTTTTACTTACATTATTTTTGGTCACCTGCTTTATAAGTAGACAGTCTTCCCTCCTGCATCATCTAACTGAATGCAGAGTCTGACGTCGCAATTCATGCACTTTGTCCGGATGTAACTCCATTTCCCACGCGAAGAACACACATGACACCTCAGTCTCGTATTAGAGGAAGTCGGCCAGTGATGTCGAGTGGCCTCCTCTAATCGTAATGCTTATAAAACATCACAATTTCAACTATCCACCATGGCCTCATTTCGCATGGAAGAAGCCGAAATTGAGAGGCAGCTGATAAATGACATCGATTCAGACTGTGGTACAGACAACTCTGAAAGTGGCGAGGAAGCAAGGGCCTAGGCTTGAACGTTCAGCAATGCGGGGCTATTCCGAGAACAGTACCTCTGTGTGGCTAGTCCAAGATATACGCAGTCAGAGTTTCTGAAGGACAAAGTACGATAAGACTTTGACCACACTTGTGCATACACAAAGGTTCCGACGTGACTGGAGAATGTGCAATACAAACATAAACTTCCACCCCTTTTGCCAGATAAGACATAGTAAGACAGGATGTCAGCAGCATGAATTTATACTGCAGAAACGTTTTGTGCAGAAACTGTAGGAATATTTGTGGACAGACGCTCAAAATTGGGAAACATTTCTTTTGAATCAGTGTAACAATTTTTACAGATTTTAAAATCTGTAAATTACAATATCTGATTCTATATTCTTTCTAGATAAAATCAGCGTTTATTTTGTTTGTTTATCACAAAAATTGTAGAAATCACAGCATTTTCAGTAATATGCTTACAATTTTTAATACCCTACAATGGCGGGCATTTAAATTAACTCCGGCCTGCTGCCATTACTGGAATTTAAATGGCCTGTCTCTTAAAGGTTAGTTAAGCACAGGGACAACTTTACCTTTTACCTTACTCACAGAAAACGGCTTATCAGATCCATGTTTTTCACCCAAAAGACTGCCAGTGAACATCATTCCGACTTTTCTCCATAAAGATTCATTACATTGTACTGTAACTTGCCCAACATGGGGGTGGGGATTAACTAAACTGTTTTTGCTCACATAATTTTAACAGTCAGTATAGGACACGCTATGGGTTGGACAGCTGGGATTCAAATTCTGGCAGCGGTAAGAGATGTCTCTGCTCCACAGCATCCAGACTGACTCTGGAGCCCAGCCAGCCTCCTATCAAATGGGTATGGGGGGGGGGCTCTTTCCACAAGGGTGGGATGCTGACAACTCACCTCTATCTAGTGTTGGGGCCAAGACTGGTGGACCTATACCTTCATTCACACATACACCTTCATGGCGTAGTGTTTAATTAGTGAAACACAGGGCCAACTTCACCTTCTTGTTTACATTAAGCAAGTCTCATATGAACTAAAATTATCCAAATTTGCAAACATTAAGCACCTGGCCTTCTGCAGAGCTTCAGACTGTTCTAGTTTTTCTGCTTCTTCTCTGAATTTTTTTAGACTCTCCTTCATTTCTTTATTCTTGGCCATTTCCTGTTTGATATTCTCCACAAACTGAGAAAAAAAGTTTGGCCGGCGAGCTGGACTGGAAAATGGTCGAATCTATAAGGTAAAGTTATAAGTATGTAAAAATAATGATATTAGTCACTTCAATAAGACAGCTGAAAACATGGAAAAACGTCCATTCTTGCTTTTCATCAAGTCATAAGTGAATAAACTGACCACAAATAATACCCATACAAAACAAAATAGAAGATTTGTTCAAACAATTTCAAAGCTAGAGCCACCAGGGACCAACAGATTACCAAAATTAATTACATTAATTTATTAAATTATGGTTTATATAATTTTAATTTCAATTATAAAATTCAGTACCATGACTATTTTGTTTCAAATGGCAGTATTATTAATGAATAATGAGTTTCAAAGGATATGCAAAGGAGTGATCAAGGCCTAATTTGACATGTTATCCTGGCTGAGGAAAATTACAAAAATCTTGCATAAGGCAGTTGGCCTTTGAGCTAAGATTGAATCTTAAATGTTCCAAATAAAAAGAAGCACCACTAGACTGTGATGTGCAGAGGAGTGATAAAGGACTGGGCTGGGTCACAGAACTGAGAAAGATTTTCAAGCACGGGAAGAGATGAATCTGCCCCCAAAACTGTCAATGAATTGACACAGTTTTCTGTGACTGAACTGCAAGCCAAACCATTCAAACTACTGACATTTGGAGGGCTTCAGTTTTCAAAATTTGTACTGAGCTCCTTGAAGTCCTCTTGCATAACCGATAAAGAAAACAACAAAGAACAACTAGAATGATGAGTAGGGAAGTGAAATACAGTGAAGTCACAACTGTGGCATAATTTCATTATGAGTGGTACACATAGGAGAAAGCCCATTAAGTTCCCTTTGGGGAATTACAAACAAATATTAATAAAGTAATATTTATTTATTTCGAGTTTGTGTTGGCATCCATAATAATAGAATATTGGAACAATGGTCTATTTCTATAACTGGAAAGGCCACAGAATAGACTGTAATACGGTTAAACACTTTAAATCAAGTAAATGTATTATGTATACTTGGACAGTTTCTACTAGCCAAATTCAAAGACAGATGCATGCCAAATGTACCATAAATTGTTCCATGGTTATATATGAAAAATGTGAGATGAACATAGTAAAATTAAATTTTATAAAAATTAATATCAAAGTAAGGGTTTGTCAAAAGTTTTTCTGTCTCTTCACTGAAATAACTTTCTGCCCAGCATAAATCATCTAGGTAAATTTATGTACACTGAACAACTTATTTGGAGCTTTATTTTAAGAAGTTTTTCATCCGTTCTCCACTATCCAGTCTTAACAGTATTTATATGACAATAATACATAATAAACTCACTCCAATATGTCCACATTGAAGCTGCAGAACTGGTTGATACCGCCGAAAATACAGTCTTGTAAAATTATGAATCTTCACAGCCAGCTCCCCTGGTTTATGTGGTATTCGTTGTCGAAACTGCAATGAGATCCATAAAAATGTTGTACAGAAGAACCCTTTTGCATCATTTCATATCATAACCTCACAACTTCTGACTTTCCCTTTCCCCAAATATATTCCTCATTTAAACCAATTATTACTCTGCAGCTATATTTATTTTGTAACACTTTATTCTTTTTTAATTATTATCAAATATTTCGCACATAAATTCCACTATATGTAATACCATTTCAACCTCGTGCAGCTACACACGTCCAACCAGACGAGTTTCGCCGATTACCATGTATTCCAGCGATTCCAGCGCGATACAAGATGAATGGTCAACTTCGAAACTAAAAGTGGGGGAAAGAAACAATTGAAAATATATAGGGCGCAATTTAAAAAGTTTCTGGGTGCAATCGTTGTAATGTGTGTTAATCGTGTTTAGTTCGTGATCTAATGTCTACGTCAGGAATGGTGGAGCTACACGTATATGTCTTCATGGCATAGTGTTTAACTAATTAAGCGCATGGACGACTTTTACTGCTTTCATTTCATGTCATGACTGTCCGTGTACTAGGTGTGGGAATTGGTTTATTCGCAATTTTGGCAATTTGGACAGTTGCTATTATCTCTTGCATTATTTTCCACCGAACCCATAAAAAGTTTGGGACAGGAGTAGTTGCGGTTGCTTCTGTGGTAACTGTAATCCTGATTCTTATACCTCGAGATTCCGAGTTACCAAAGAAACCAGTGTTTAAGGCAAGTACACATATTTTCTTTACTAGCATGTTTGGGTTCCCACGATTTCTTATAGCTACTTTGCAACCGCGAGAAATGTGGGCGATTTTTCTTTCCATACGAAGAATTTCAATTATGTACAATATTAATAGCTGGTAAATAAATGGCATTTAGTATATATACTGCATAGTGAACGATAATAGTAATATGTTACAGATACACCAGACCCACATTTGCACACAAAATAATTATGGCGTATTTTAAAATATTTTGTGTTTTACACCTTTAAAATGCAAAGTGTAGCAGCATGACACAAGACAGCAGTTCTAGTTTGTACACTTTGCCAGTTGGGCTGAAACGTGTAGTATTTGAATAATAGGAGGAGACAAAAGATTTTGAAGTGTGAATTTTAATACATGGACGAAGTTGCAGAGGGAAAGTGAAAAGTGCGAGTGCTTATTTAGAACATACACCTCAACAGAATACTGCAACATAATAAGCTAATCATTGTTTTCTAAAGTCAGTTTAATCAAACACATCATTGTCTACTGCTAAAATTCATTTTACAATTATTCTGCCATATCATTCAAAGATTTCCCTTTCCATAAGTTTTGTCCATTAATATATTACATGGATTATGTATTTTGCCCTGTAAAGACTGGTCCATGTCATTTTCCTAGATTAACCCTTGTCTGTAATAGTGCTAGTATGATGTTGGCAGCTGGGTTACATACAGTTCACAAGTCCAAAATACAATGGACATGAAACTGGTCACAAGCATAACACAAACAAACAAAGCAGAAAGACAATACAAAGCTAAACAAACATTTTAACTAACTATTTACTGTATGCTCCAAAAGTTCACCAACTGTATAAAATGTTATTCATGAGGTATGAAAATAATTATTTTTAAAACTAATTCTATCCTTTCTAAGACTTTGAATGGTGTTTGGCAATCTATTAAATAGTCTAATACCAGTAAACATAGTGCCCTTCTGGAAAATAGAAATGGCACTTGTACTGATAACATGTGATGCTTGCCTTACTGGATCCTCACACTTGCTGTTGCAGTAGTGGGACATATGGCTAAGGTTAATGACATTTCTAACTCAGGATGAAAGGTAATTTGTGATCTAATCTTCTTGAGTGTCCTCAGTGATCTGTTTCCAGACACAGCTATTCACTTACTCTGCTTCACTGTGAACTTATTGCTGAATATAGGAATATGATTTGTATTTTACAGCTGTATGACGAGTTGTTTTTGTGGAGAACATCACTTGTTATTCTACTGGGACTGTCAGCCATCATAGGACTTCTGATTTTTGTTGTCATGCACTTGATGGAGCCACAACATGCACAAGCAGTTAGGCCGTGATGATTAGTCACTTAATTTGTGAGAACTGGAAAAATCTATGAATAAAATGGCGAATTCAAGAAGTATGACTCATGCTGTGCGATCTTTGTGCAGAACAGTGGTGATACAAACAGTGACAAGAACTGTGATCTCTGCAGCAAGCACTTGTTACAGATATTACATGCACAATAACTTTTCAAGCACTTCCCAAGTAAGGAAGTCTTTCGTCATAAACAGCAATGAAGATTTTGTTAACAAGGTCATGAACAGTGATGTTCCAGTCATTGTCAATTTTCATGCAGAATGGTGTGACCCCTGTAAGATCCTGTCTCCAAAACTTAAAGAGTTAGTTGACCCAATGAATGATGTTCATCTTGCTATTATTGATGTAGAGAATAATGCTGAACTGGTTCATGCATTTGATGTCAAAGCAGTGCCAGCTGTCCTTGCTGTAAGAAGTGGTTTAGTAGTTGATAAGTTCATTGGGTTAGTTGATGCAGATATGATAGAGAATTTGATTAAGAAATTAACGATGAAGCAAGGTGGATAAAATAATAAACAGAGATACAGAAAACAGGACATTACAGTGTAGTGGCTAGCAGTCCTGCTTTGTGTCGAGTTTTAAGCCTTGGCCTGGTGAAGAGCTGCCTTGACTACAGTTTTTTGTGATTCTCCTCCTCCTGTCCCAAGAAAATGATGCTGTCTAGCATTAATAAAGATAATTTGCTACTCTTAGTACTTGTACTGAAGATTTAAACTGATGTATGTAAACTTCTTAACAAATGAAGAAAGCAGTCTTCTGGGATTTGGCACCGTGTATATGTGGTGTTAAGTGACGTTTCGGAGGAATGTATCGCCTCCATCTTCAGGGTAAAAGGGAAAATATAAGAAATCTGCAAGCGAAGAGACCGTGAGAACAAATAAAAGCTTCTACCCTGAAGATGGAGGTGATACGTTCCTCCAAAACGTCAGTTAACACCACATATACACAGTGCCAAATCCCAGAAGACTGCTTTCTTCATAGTCACCACTGTGAAAGCCTCAATTCTTAACAAATGACTAAAACTTCTATTCATGTGTGGAATATGCAGACATATATAAGTTAATATCCCATCATACTTAAAACAGAACAAATATTTTTTATATTCAACAAATGCACTAACTTCGCTGACAAGCGGCGGTCGCTCGGTTGGTAGTTCACTTGCTGACTATGGGCCACAGAGTTTGTTGTGTGTAACATTTATGTGTCAGTAAATTCTATAACTTTTATCTGAAACATTTTTGGTTTGGTGGAAATATTAATTGACCACATGTAATGCTTCAGTTTTTATTCAAGTAGTGTCAGTCCTTTCACAAATTAGCATTACTATGGAGAATAACGTCTTATGGGTTGTAACACTATGTTGCTCAGAAAGAGTCCAATATTTCATATGAACATGACACCTCCAACTTCATGGTCAAAAAGTAAACCAAGCAAAAAATCAGCAAATGCTGGTTCTTCGGAAATCTGAGGCTGTCTCTGAGCTACGTGGCATTACTTTGGATTGTAATTTCATCACATGATAAAATTATGCATAATGAAAATGTAGGATGACAAATTATCTGAAACTTTAGTACATTCTGTGTTACATAAAGCAGTACATATACATGTTGTAAAGGATCTGATTCACAGACCAAGAAAATAGCAGTTAGCTTTCCAAGGGCCAGTTCCCTATACATGATGCAATAAATCATTTTCACATTGTACAGTCCCAGGATAGCGCAGTCGGTATAGCAACTGGCTATGGGCTGGAAGATCAAGGGGTCAGAGTTCCGAGTCCTGATAGGGTCAAGAATTTTCTCCATGTCATCCAGATGTGCCCTGGGGTGGAGCCAACCTCCTATCCAATGGGTACCATGGGCTCTTTCCCCGGGGGTAAAGCTGATCACTTGCCTCCAGCTAGTGCTGAGGTCAAGAAAATGTGGATCTATACATCCACTCCCCATTACACTTTCATGGAGTAGTGCTTAATTAGTTAAACGCAGGGACAACTTTACCTTTAATTTATAGGCTCAGTCTGCAGCCACCTGCTCGTGCTGGCTCCTCGCTTGCAGATTTTACTGCCCTGAAGATGGAGGTGATACGTTCCTCCAAAACGTCAGTTCACAAGATCTACATGGTGCCATATCCCAGAAGATGGCATTCTTCATACACTATTTTATCAGCCCTTTCCTGATTATATTACATCTCTCACATAACTTCATTATCTTATTTGCACAACCCATATGGCCATCTGGACTTAGCCATGGGTTTCAGCTAAAGAAATGAATATATAGATACAATGTGACAAAGTGTAATCTTAACGTAATGTGCTCCTTTTCCTTCTTCTGAAGCACACTGAGTTATATACGTGAGATGTCTTACGCCTGAACAAGATACATAACTCTTATTACACACACAAAAAAAACTGTTTTGAGATGTAGAATCTCAGAGATATCCAGATAGTGCAGACGAAAATCTTGACAAAAATGTATTCTAATGGCACTAGCATGTCTACAAACTACAAGAAAATGAAACATAAAATGCAGAATCTCCCAACACTTTATAACATGGAATTGCTGAGAATTTTTAAAGGGAGCCAGGATAGCATAGTCAGTATAGCAACTGGCTACGGGCTGGACAACCGAGGGGGTTCGAGTTCTGAGTCCCAGTAGGATCAAGAACTTTTTCTTCTCCACATCGTCCAGACCGGCTCTGGGGTCTATCCAACTTCATATCCAATGGGTGACACTGACCACTCACCTCAAGATAGTGCCAAGGTCAAGAAAATGTAAATCTATACATCCATTCCTCCATATGTCTACAAACTTTTAATATTACAGCAGATCAGTCAATTGAAATTAACACAAGCAAAGTTATACAGAACATTATATTTTCTTAAATTAAAAATATCCGGTATACTAAATTGGAAAACTGTACAATAGAATTTCAGAATAAAATCTTACCAAACATCACATACATACAGATACAAGTTATTGACATGCTAACAAAATTGCAGGAATTTATCCTTCTCTTATTGGACTGACTTATATACATGTACCAGAGTTAATTTTTTCTGCTTATAAAACGATTAATTTTGCACGTCTCGCATTGAAAACAAGCCACTAATATACAGCAATACTTTGCAGGGTAAAAGCACAATAAAAGTACATTGTCACTTCAGTTTTACTTAGTTCAATGCTGGTTCATTTTAAATTTTCTTTAAAATCATACACTTAGAATACAAAGATGATGTACAGTTTTATTTTTTCATAACTCCTGTTAGAACCTGGAACCAGCACTACAAAATTTATGGATGGAAATGACTATTCCAGCATTCACTGTATATTTCTTTAAAATAAGCTATTAAAATACGTTGAGGTGACATACAACCCGTTTAATGCTCATGGAGTTTCATTTTAGAATGTGAAATGTATCATTACACCTGTGCTTTCCTAATGAAAGATTTTAAAAATGCACACATCCTAAAACTATAAATTTCCTCCAATTTATATTTCACATTAAGTTTAAAAGCATATTATGATATTTTTACAAGCCCAACAACTTACAAAACAAAAGTGACCCGGTACGGTTAATAAATACATTTACAAAATTCTTCCAAACAATCACTTTTCTAAAACGTTTGCTGTCTTAATATTCATATTAAAAAACTGAATATACAAACATATAAAATAACACAAAAATTCTCTTGCATGTATCAATCTGATTGGAACATGTGTACAAGATGTCAAAAATACATATATGTATAAAAAAGCTTTCAGTTGCCTCAGGTAAGTTTTAAACTATGAGTTTCTATCTACTGATTGTACCACAAGAAACAATTTCTTGTTTTTAGACCACAGGTTTGTCTTGGTATGTGATTTGTTTCTATTGGTGTGCAAGGTGCACTGGTTGCAGTCAACATAATGCTGGTGTGCGTGGAGTCAGCAGCGAAACATTATGCCACCTGGAAGGAATAACATTGGATCAACTTCCCTCTTTCACATGGGCAAGAAAATAAATCACATCATAAGATGCAGCAGCTTGTAGAGATGTTTTTATTGGTTAGACTTTCAGCTAGATACTCACGTGTTGTGTCTGCCATTATTAACATTTCAATCAGTACTCATTTTCCATCAAATACTAGAATATCACGCCAATACAGGTCACACGAGAGAATGTTTTTGTGTGGGGGCACTTCAAATGAAAACTGATTTACTGTAACACACTTTTAAGCTAAAACTTACTTTGGGTTTTGCACTGATCTGTAATGCATGCATTAAGGATGGTACAAACACAACAAAGTATCAAAATGCATTATGCCACAAATTGACTGTTTCTTTCGAATCACTTATTTATCTAAGTGTGTGCTGATATAATTTCTAGCATGTGAAAAAGAATCTAGTAAATTTTGTATTGCATAATGAAGGTTGCATCCATGAATGGGCAAATTAGTTCAAAGGCAGGAGTTGCACAATGCTCCACAAACATGTCATCACTCCTGACAGTATTATAAAAGCAGAAAATCGAACTTCAGAAAAAATGCCAACTATAAATGACCCAATTGTGGGACTGCAATGGAGTGTTGGTTCTGTCTGTACTCTGGTCCACAAGAAGATGCAATTAAAAAGTGTGTGCACACTGGATACATCAGTCAACATGTGAAGGAAATCAGATGCATTCCATTATAAACAGGGCATGCTGATTCTACATGAATGCACCATTTCCAGCCTGAAACCAAATAAACTAGCAAAGTATGGCGATTACCAAAGCCAGAAATATTTCAAGGAGCACCTTCAGCTAGAAAAGTTGTGCTTGCTCTATGGTAACAAAATGGTCTCATGCCATTCTGCAGAAGGGATCCATAATAAACAAAGACACATCATAAATTTCTGAATGAGAGTCCCAAGTGACTTAATGAGCAAAAATGTCATGGATCATCTGAATGCATATGCCAGCAGCATGATGTCACATCCACATACTTCTGGATGACAGCTGCAATAAAAAAATAATTACAGGAGTCCTGACACACCCACCCCACACCAAGCAACTCTGACCTCATTAGGCCCTTAAAAGTGGCACCCACTTCAGTGCATACTGATGAGAAGGTACTGTGTACAGTGCAAAATTGCTTCTGTGATGGCACTGTGGTCATGGAATCAAATCCTACAAGCCAACCCTATTTCAGTAAAATGTACAAATGGATAAGCATTTAGAAACAAATCACAACAAATTATTTTGGATTTGTTTAATTACATTTGGGGCACATGGTAGCATAGTTAGTTGAGGCACTATGCTACAAGCTGGAAGGTTGCAGGTTCAAGTCATGATGAGGTCATTGGATTTTTTCAATTGACCTACTCCTTCCAGCCACACTATGGCCCTGGGGTCGACTCGGTCGCTAAAAGAATGAGTACCAGGAATATTCTTGGGGGTAAAGGGCGGCCAGCGGGTAGGGCTGACAACCTTGCCACCATCTGTGAGCTGATTGTCTAGAAAATGTAGGAACCTCAACATTTCACAACCCTATGGGCCTCCACAGCCTGTTACAGGGATACCTTTACTTACTTTACTTTTTTAATTACAATTAAAGTAAAACTCCCAAGAATGCACTGCCAATGACTTCAAACTACAGACATTTCAAAGTCTTCACTTTTCAAAATTCATGTTGAAGTTTCTCAGATTTCTCTCCATGGAGAGAAAATCAACTACAATGAACAGTAGAGAAGTGAAATAGGACTGGCATAGGATAGTTCCTGATATATTCTAAAAACCAACTGCTAATCCTCAATTCTGCCCTCAAAGCAATAAACAACCTTGACCTTCCAAACAAAGCACTCAGCTTTGTTTATGAAGGGAATGAGAGCAAAGCCAATATGACTGAAAGACAAGACACCTGGTGTTGTAACAACCTCATCCATGTATACCACAAGAGACCATGAATATCAGATATGGATTCATAATCTTTATCACAAATTTAGCAATGTTTTCCGGTAAATACCGTTTGAAAAACAAGCATCCCTTCCATAATGTAAGGGATTTGTTCACAGATGTTTTTCCAGGGAAGGAATAAGTTCTGAATATTACAGTTCAGAGGCAATACGGCAGGGCCTTCATAATTTTCTCTGTTGGCAATGTCTGCAAAACGTATAAATTTCATTACTAGTTTGAATCTCTCTCTTGATATCACATCATCATGCCTTGGACCTGATAGAATTCTCCTCCTTGAACCGGTTACCGGTTCTCACGGTCTCTTCGCTTGCAGATTTCTTATATTTTTTCTTCTACCCTGAAGATGGAGGCGATACGTTCCTCCGAAACGTCGGTTAACACCACATATACACGGTACCAAATCCCAGAAGACTGCTTTCTTCAACATAAATATAATTTTCTGTGATTGATGTCCATTGTCTTAAGTAAAAAGTCTGCCTCTAGTATTTATAAACTGTTCTGTGTAATGGCAAATTTCCACAATAATTTTATGAACTATGTCTCTACTGGAAAATAATAAGAATCCAAGCACAATATCTCAGATGTTCACTGCAGTTTTGAGGTTCAGAATTACCTGAAAATAATTCATGCTGTCCATGATAGTACCCCAAGTCTTTTCAAAATAAAGGCATTATTATAGTTAGTACCACTAAGGAAATGACCTTGGACTTGTTCCTCCACATCAGTATCCTCTTCATTAACAGCAGTATCAACAACTGCAATGTCAGCTTCACAGTCATCACTATCACCACTACTATCGCTAATCAGACACTCATGTCAATCATTTAGAACATCCAAAACATTCTCCTCCCTCAAATGTTTACTTACAGGTAGAGCTTGCTACCTGTTTCATGCTGGTTTCTTGCTTAGCTTATCCTTTGACCTTGAATATGGATATTACATGTCCCTCAGAAACATCAGTTGGCTTTCAGCAAACTACACAGCATTATATTCCAGCAGATGGAACTATTCATGACACTGAGTTTGCCATTGCAATGTCTATTTTTATCACACTTTATACCAAGAGACTGCTGGTTGTTTCCAGTGATCAAAGAACCTATTCGCTGACAGTATGTTTTCAAGTTAATCAGGCACACCTAATGCCACAAACCAGTAACTTAAAACACTCAGAAATAATGTTACCATGGCCTTAACATGAAAAGAAATGAAGAAGAAGAAGAAGAAGAAGAAGAAGAAGAAGAAGAAGAAGAAAAACTCGTCTGTGACTATACTGGAAACGTACACATGACATTACCATTCAGTAAATTAGGAGCAGTTACGTTTGAGAAGCTGTTTGCCAGTCAGCTAGTCAAATTTTCTGCCATTTAGAGAACAAGAGGTTAATTACCTAGTTCACATGGGCCCACCACTGGGTCCCACCCTGAGCCAGATGAATCCAGTGCACATCATTACACCCCCCTCCTTCAAGTTCCATTTTAATATAATCTTCCCAGTTGGTCTCCTCATTCAAAGTTTTCCAGCAAATTTTGCAAATTCTCATCAGTCTCAAGCGTACTACGCACCGCATCCATCTCATCTGCTTGGTTTGAAATTTGTAACCTAATTATGCAGTTTTCTCCATACATTCTTTTATTTCTATCTTATGCCCAAATATTCTTTTTCAGTCACCCATTCTCAAATACTCTGCACCTCATATTTCCATATACAAATAGTCAGGATCCTGCATGATCATACCTCCTCCACCTTTAGGGTTAGCACATCTATGTTGGCAAGTAAAAGACTGGTTTAATAAGCTTCATGAAAAATCTGCAGTTGCTTTCAAAACTTATGAGATACAAGCAGCATTTATCTCTCTTTTGGCCACCTCTCCAAAACAGGGAATAAATATTGGTTTTAATCACATAAATATTTCATCAAAATGAAACTTAAAAAATATATTTGGAAACCCATCATATAACATAGCACTTCTGAATCGCGGATATGTGACGTCTCATAAGAGGATGTGTCAGATATATTTCATACATAGTAAAACACAGATTGAAGGATCAAGAGTAAAAGCTGTCAACCTTCCTTTGCAGCCCAGCAAGTTTATTTAAAATGAAAAGTCCCTGTACCTTGTCATGTCTACATGTAGTTTCAGATAAGAATTAGTCACCGCATGAAGCCTCACTGTGAGGAGGAGCATGTCAACTGAAAAAGACTCACAAATACTGATATAATGTGAATGGAACTTTGGTCACCTGTTAGACTTGTATTTTTCCCTCACAGCTTGCTGAGGAAAGGTGCTGGCATTTGAATAGGTTTCATTTAGGTGACAAACGCAAGGTTTCAAATCCTCAAACTTGTATCTAGTCACATTTTCTAAGTCGTCAGGCCACACTTCCTGATCCAGCGTGTGTCGTGCCAGTGCTATGCATGAAGCTGCCAATTCCGACGGAAGATATTGCAAATATGGATCAGCTTCTAGAAGTGACAGTTCACCCAAATACTGAAACAAATAAGAACATTTATATTTGTAGTTAAGGTTTCTTCTGCCTTATATGTGGTCAAATAACTGTTTAATGATTTACTCATTGTGATTTGTCTTGGATAACATGTGTAATTGTTATGGATGAAGTATAATTAATTTTTATCTATATAATTGATGGGACTTGTCTTGTTGTCTCTATTTCTATTGCCACTGGTCTTCCAGCCATGTAAGGATCCATGGAATGTAAATAAATGAATTAATTCAATATTCTTCTTTTACTTCAGATATGATACTAAAACCAATAAACATGCCACTTATAAATGAACATAAGACATGCAGTTACTACACTGAATAGGAATAACATCTGAAAGTGAAAGCCATATTGGAACAAGAGATTTAGTATTTAATCATGATCCACATTGAAAAATCCAATTGGCTGTAATGCACACCCCTTTCCACTTTAGTTACTGTTGCTCTCACTGTGACACTGATCTTCATCAGTATTACTGCAAATAACTATTTCTTTGTTGAAAAACTGTGATAAATGTTTTCAAATTTGGGAAGTACTGACTCCAGATCTAACATTGCTTACATTAATAGTCTTAGAAACAAATGATTCATGCTCACCATGGCAAGGAACACTGTGGTTTCTGAAAGACCATAAGAAGCTGAAAAGCTCGTGATGAAACTCAGTGTTGTTGGCACTGAGAGATCAAATGCGAGAACTTTCAGAATTAGATGCTCCATTCGTAACACCTGTTTCTTTGTATACGTATCATCAGTGATGTATACAAATTCACTAACTTCAGGTGGATATATTTCTTCATATTTCCTAAAATCATAAAGATCTTAATTCTGATACCACTGAAAATATTCAAAAGACATTGCTTTTGTTATGTACAAGTTGCATTAACTTCAATGAATTAAATATAGTAGTCTGTGATTCAACTAGCTTGAAAACTTTTCCACTCTCTCACAATGGAGGTCATGCCAATATCATACTCTCAAAGAAAGTATCAAGTTATACTGCTTTTACCAAAATAAATTACAACTTTAGATCTCCATGACAGTTCCTAAGCCATAACTTCAAAACAGGAGTAACAGAGAATTAGCAATGAATTACAGTTTTGCACATTTGTGGTCATAATATTGTGGTATGTCCGTTGAAAGCTAGAACAGGTTAATCAGAAGAGACATCCGTTATTAGGTTACAGCACAATAAACAGCAATGCAACAATGGAATACATCACATCACACAAAGTAACCAATTGGAGTTCTGCTGGGAAAGGTGTTCTGTGTGGGTTCGTGCTGATAGTGACATCATGCAACAATAGAGGAATTGTGGGAAGCAGTGTTTTCTGTTGGAACTGTCTCAAGGCTGTATGATGAGGACCAATGGGACAACCCAGTCAGTCTACAGAAGTCTAGAGTCTTTTGAGTCTGCAGTTAGCCATTGTGAGACTGACCCATCAGAGACCATCACAGATAGTGGCCCCTGGTGGAGGTGAAGTGGCCTACACGGTTGTAAGTCACTGCATAGCAATGTAGAGTCATTTGTGAGATAGGCGACAGCCAGTGAGGACAGAAGCCATTACCAGACAATCAGTGAAGACACAGCAAACTGAGAAGACTCAGTGCATGTTGTGGTGATTTGTTACGCATGTAGATCTGTGAAACTGTTATAGTTAATTATAGTTACGATCTGTAAGAGTGCAATAAATCCTATATCAATCCAAACCCTGCCTACAGTCGCTCAATCACGTGACAGTATGTATCCGTAACACTGCCCAATTATTCTTTAATTTGCATAATTCACTAGCATCACTTCAAAATACATCCCTCTTTCTAGAACTAGTACAGAAAGAAGAATCCCGTCTTCTGGGATGTGGTGCCGTGTAGATCTTCATACAAGCTCTACATGACGCAACATCCCAGAAGACAGCATTCACAGTCACCATTGTGAAAACCTCAAATCCTACATAGTACAGAAAGCATCAGTAATTTATACATTAGCTCATGTTTACAATTGCACTGACAAATATTTGTTAATGTTACATTATTTGCTCCCTTAACCTCTGGAACATGTTTTGATTCTTCTGAAAACAATAAGTCGCGGCATCAAACAGACAGACTTCAACTGACTGCCTGCAGTAATACAATTTAGAGAACAGACAGTTAACCTTAGGCTACCACAATAGTCTGTCTAGCATATAATGTTTTTCGATGTTGAAGCACCCACTCAGATAGCTTATACTTCACTAACCACTTTAATACTGTGAATATATATTAACAGTGCAAAAATGTCTCCTGTTAGGATATTTTAACCTTTAAACGCCGGACTTCGAAATAGTGGTAAGCTTGNTGATATTTTAATAGAATAACAAATATCTGAGATGTTCAACGTTCTTTTCATACAGGAGAGAGGGTAATGAACTTACGTAAGTCTAAAGGTTTGTGATAGCTTTCTGGTATCATGATGTAAGGATGCTCTTTGCGCAATGTCCACAGTTCTAGAATAAAAATTATGTCTATGCTTCAGAGACAGACTCTGCATCTTCGTGTGAAAGACATGAGGGAAAGGAAATATCTACTCAGGTACATTAAACAAATTATCCCTTCTATCTCACAGAAGATGAAGACATGAAATAGACATAATCACTGCTTCAATGTCAGGGTTAACAATCCTTACATCAAGATCCTTGCTTCATTTTGGGTAAACACAATGAACTCCTGCAACACAAAATTCAGAAACCAATAAGAAATGTACTTTTTACTACTTTTTATATGGCACTAAAATTTTCTTGCAGCACTCTCATTTTCACTCCACAGAACCCTGGGATTTCCGAGAAACACTGCTCTAGACCAGTAGTTCTCAACTACCATGTACTGGGCCCTGGAATCAATTATACCGGGCCCTCGTCTTATAAAAAGAAGAATTTACCAGGCCATGGTCTCACAAAGGTTGAGAACCACTGCTCTAGACTATATAGGCCAGGCTTCAAACCTTGAAAATATCTTCGTTTATATAAAATAAACTGAACTGTAATGAGGCATGGTAAGTTATTTTGAAACTCAAAAAGTCATAACAAAATCTAATTTCAAAACATGATTTTTATACAGCAAACAGTAAAGAAGGAACAGGCAAGTAGGTGTTACAGACAGGATGCCTTTCTTGTAAGCTCACACCCTTGTGATCAATGCATTAACAAAGACTACAGAAAACGTGATTACCCAAAGCCTGATGAGTGGCTGCTTTCTAGCAAACCTACCAGCAAACTCCCTCGCAAATGACCAATAATCAGTTTACTTGCTACAAGATGGCTTGAATACCTGACCAGTAAGTCTCCATAACATAATGGCATATGCTCACTTTCAGATGTAAGTGACTTCTGGGATTCAAGATTCTTACAGCAGTTAACTACAAAGGTTAGTCTTCTGAGATGTAACACTGCAGAGTTGGTGGACAGCTATCACCCAAAAGAGTATTCTTTATAAATGACCTGTTAATCCCTCCACTATTTATGAAAAACAGTTTTAGTAAACACCTTTCTAAGGTATTTTTCTTTGAATATTCAGTTTGTTATATTACAGAATGTCTCCATGTTACAGAAGTAGTATCCTGTGGAAAATGTGTTCATATTATGAAATTGTATAATCTGAACCATATTTTTCCATTTACTTCCATGTCATAAGTGAAGGTGTATTCCTACAGAAATTTTCTAGTCCCCAGTTGTGATAAAAACACAATTATTAACTTAGATCAGTGTAACTTAAAATGAGATGGGGACAGCAACCACATTATCAGGTATTGACACATATGCACGGGTAAGCAAGCTACATCATCTGTAGACATGTATATATGTTTTCTGAGTTTTCCAACAGATAATCATTCTTATAAAAATAGTTTTGGCTGAATTTGTTATGCTTAAGATTTTAATATCTATCATAAATTTCTGTAAGGGAGGCTTCAAGGTCCATCAATTTTATGGCCATGTTTTATAATGTCCATAAGGATTACATTCCATAAGCAGAACATCCATGACAGAGTACTGCTACACATGCTTTCTTAGAACTCCAAAACAAACCAGAACTCCAAATACAGTAAACCCTTACACACCGTGGAGGTTATGTTTTTAAAAAACACCAGTTGGCCCAAATCAAGGCTGCGTGGAAAACAGGGAGTTAGAGGAACTGTTGCCATTGTTAACACTAATTAAAGCATAAGTTGTTCTTTCAATAATCACAAAAAATATTATATGAAACATGTATGAAAATAATCAGCACAAAATAAATAATACCATTACAGCCCTGCCCCAGCAAATGTACAGAAGCCATTCATTTTTCTGTGTGAAGACAAATTAACAACAGCAGATACATAAAGCCAAATATTGCAGATGGTGACACTGGATACAAACTACAGATATCTGAAATTCTCAGATGGTGAGGGATTGATCAAAATATATTACTCAAGTGTCATCAAATCTTTTATGGATACATAAAACAAATTTGATCCAAATATAAAACACAAATAGTTTATTATATTAACTCTCTGTCAAGAAAATATAGGTTGATTACTTGCAAAGTTGACTCTGGAGGACTGTAAAAGTATCCCTCTATTAGTTTTGAAATCCAAGTGGGTCAGTAAGAAATGAAGTATTCCATACGATAAACCCTTGCAGTTCTGAAGGACATTCAACACAAACTAAGTTAATGCTATATTTAGCTACTTTTACTTTATGACATCACCTTCCAAAACAGTGATCAAGTTATGCTGTCAATTTAAATCATAAATATCATGAATAAACAGAACAAAGTACCACCCTGACACCTTGGATGGTCAACTACATTCCTCAATAAATGAGTACAGTTTCTTAATCCCTTATGAATACCCTAAGAAAACTTCTTATACAACACTAGAGTAGAAGGTATGAACTTACGCAGCAATGAACATTGCAGCTGTGCCAACAAGTTGCAACTTAGAATGAACAACAGACATAAAGCTAAGAAAGCGATCAATATATGATACAGCAAGATACAATGTCTCCGTCTGCAAATGGTATTCCTCAGCTACTTCTACTAGCCAGTCCACTAGAACTGAACGCATAGAATATGTGATGTAAGGCTGCTTCTTCATGTATCCAGGCTTTGGACGATGGCGAGCCTGCAAATGATCAACACAGTATTTAAGATGTTTTATTTTTACATCCCACTTGACATAACACAGACGGGTAGCATGATAAATCAGAATTTATACTATCAACAATTACAGATATGATTTGTGTTATATTACTGACATCTTCCCTTCCAATACGTATGGTTCCATTCATGTGCTAAAACTGCTCATAAGTCTGATATATTTCATTCTGGTCCATCACACTAACAATTATAAATACAAACCACTCCGTCCAATGTGACATATAAGTTTTTACTATGTTAAAAAAATCTTTATTTTCAGTAGTTAAATTTTTTTTAAAGCACGTAGGTTCGTGTCCGTACTCCTATCGTCCTGCTTGTATGGGGCAGATTTTGTGCCGCCTGTCTATCTTGATGAGGAGGTTCTTGATGTCGTCCAGGGTTTGTTCGTGGCTTGCTGTGTTGTTTTTTAAATAACATCTAGAAACTTTTAAAAACTTTACAACACCAGGAAGCTGCTGTGATTGTGAAACGTTCGACTTTAAGCATACTGTGCATTATAGGATATAAGTGTATGTATTTTAAATCAAAACACCTATTGTGATGGTAGTTTCCAGTTTGTAATGATGTTCCCTCTGAAGATAGCCCGTAAGGACCGAAACATGGAAGGGAGATAAGTTTTATCATACTAAAAACTTATATGTCACATTGGATGGAGTGGTTTGTATTTATGCTCATAAGTCTGCTAACAAAATTTGTATAGTTCTAGCTCTCTGATATTGGAACCTCTAGTTGACTGTCACTTGCACAGATGATTCCCACTGATATCATAGCCTATGGTCACAGACCACATGCTGTATTTGTTTGCTATACTGACACATAAAGGACAAAAATCATTCTATCCTAGTGGTATGTTTCATAGCTCTTGAGCTTCAACAAATTTTAATATATATTCTTCCCAGGGAAAATATTTTAATTTAAGACAATATTCTCATAACAAAGGTTAATAAAAATTTGTCTTCATAGAAAAATTTCAGAAGGGCAATAGTTTGAGTCCCATGTTTACAGCCAGGAAGCTATATGAGACCCATTATAACTTCTGTAAGTGGCATATTCTCCAACATCAGATTACATCAGATGTAAGAGTTATACAGGGTGTTTCACGACTTTAGGTCATAACTGCAGGAGGTGATTTCCTAGGTCTTTGTGATCAAAAAAGTTCATATAAACATATGCCCGATTTTGGACGGTTACGGAGTTATGACCGTTTTAAAATCAGAATAGAAGGTAACGATTACTGACAATAAACGGAACAAAATAANTGCAGTTGCTTATAGCTTCTCATTAATGCTCAAATTACTAAAGCAAAAACATACATAATGCTTCACAACAACGGATCCCAAACTATTCTACCAGCAAACATGCATCACTTCAATACAGTTCTTTTCTCTAAAAAAAAAAGCGTGATAAATATGGGAATCACCTTGTATAATAAGGTCCCTGAGCACATAAAATTAAAGACAAATTTTAACTCTTTAAAGAGGGACTTAAAAACCTTTCTGTTGAAACATTCCATTTATTCCATTGATGAATTTATGTCCCTAAATTTCTGAAGTGAGTGTGTTATGGTTTTATGTTATGACAAATATCTTGTCCTCACTTAATCTATAAAAGAATTTTGGGTGCAGGGTTTCTTTTGGTATTGAATTGTTGCAAGTTGGATGACGTGTTGTTGATTAATGTGTATGAAATCTGTAGGCAGTTAAGTTTTATTGTATAGTTGACTCATAACATCACGCCTAACAATCTTTCAGAAAGGACCATAAATTTTGGTATCAAGGCTTATAACCACCTGCCATCCAGAATCAAGAGTATGAGTAATGATGTGAAACTACTTAAATTGAGGCTAAAAAGATTTTTTCTTTCAAATTCTTTTTATTCCTTAGAGGAATATTTTAACCATGTATGTAATTAAAATTGGTAATTGTACCCCTGATATGTTATAATTTTATATCATTACCTAAGTATTTTGTATCAATTATTGTTTTATAATTTNTCTTAATTTCTGAAGTGAGTGTGTTATGGTTTTATGTTATGACAAATATCTTGTCCTCACTTAATCTATAAAAGAATTTTGGGTGCAGGGTTTCTTTTGGTATTGAATTGTTGCAAGTTGGATGACGTGTTGTTGATTAATGTGTATGAAATCTGTAGGCAGTTAAGTTTTATAGTATAGTTGACTCATGTACAATATGTACGTTATATTAACATGTAGTTATTGACTTGTTCTATATCCAGAGGTTGTATCACCAAATATGGATTCTAGGAACAAATAGATTGATTGACTAATTGACTGATCAGTATTCTGTGAATTGGACAGGAGTCTCTATCACTTAATTTCAGTAATGGCAGTGTTTTGCCAATTTTTAGAAAAAATAAAGTCAACAGATAGAATATTTTGTTTTACATTCTTACTGCACTCTCTTAGAAGTAATTTTTTAGTTTCTAGAATACTGGATGGACAAAGTTAAAAAACCCAGTTATTCTGAGTTATACACCATTACCAGAACCCTTTAGACCAAAGAGGAAATCTACTTCAATTCAATCTTATGACCATCTGTGCACAAATTCAACATGCTAACCCAGGGACTGTACTGAATTTTGTTATACAATTACGTTATCTAAATAAGACAATAATAATAAACATATTATTTGTAAGGCTGGAAGTCCGCAATATCAGGTAAGGTACATAAGTTCTACCCAGAACCTCATGTTTTGTTCCCAAAGTTATAACATTATACAGAGCATGTCTCTTCTTAATTCTGAAATTATTTCCTCCTTCCTATTATCTAATAATTTTGAGCATTCCTCAAATTGGTTTATGCTACTCTAACTCATAATAAACTAGACCTGCAGTGGCCAAACACTGGCATGCATAGGAGTGAAACCTTGAAAGAATTGCTGGACACATAAAATTGTTTCAATGAAATTTAATAAAGAAAATAAATTAAATTATAATGAAATTTATGTGTGGGTAAGAACTACATTTATGTTCATGTACACGCAGTTGCACAAATGCCTAAAGGCCATCATCTGCTTCAAACAATCACAAAAGAGCAACACTGGCTAGCCTATAGGTCATATTTTGCAATGTAACAAACATACACTTTTTACCGCACTGGCAGAAATTGAAGCCCAAAGAGCATTATGGGATTGTGGTCTAGTAACCTTTCTACAGTTTGAACAAATTCAAAATTCCTTTACTCTTGTTATCATGGGTACCACCAGGACTTTTCAAAGAGAGCATCCAAGATAGGGTATTATTTGGTACATTTCTTTCCTTTTTCAATTTTGGAGGCAATACCTGGAGGAGGCAGGGTGGCAGTTGTCTGGCTTGCTGCTCCCACTGGTGGCAGCTGTGTTACACAGCTTACAGGTACAAAACTAGATCTCTCCAATTAATGTAAAGAAAGTATAGAGCAACTTCCTATATTGGGACCATGTATAGTGTCACTGAATTTGTCTTCACTTACCATATCATTCCCACAATTTGCCATCATCAGCATACATCTCTACTAACAATTAAGAGAGAAAAGAGCAACGCTGTTTCTACTTTGAAGTTGTTTTACTGATGACAATGAAAGCTCATTCTTAACACATGTACAGTAACAACAGTATCAAACAACATTCAATATCTATTTACAAACCTCTGCTTCACGTAAGTATAGATAAATTTCCTCCCTGTATTCATCAACATCCAGTAACAGCTCCTGTGCTGACTTTGACTTCTGCTTGACTGGAGTACTGAGGATACCAGATCTGTCCAAAGACATTGGGGAACCACCTGTACTATCTTCTTCAAAGAAATCATGTCTAACACTAATCTCCTGCAGTGGTTGCCGATGAAGACTTGTTACAGCTCCAGGCAAATCAACTGATTTTAATTTACTACTTATATCTGACACATGATCTTTACTATCCCTTAGAACAACGGCTTTCTCTTCAATTAACTTCTCTTCATGAATCTTAAATGGTGCTTTTTGGAACACCTGTGATGTGACTTTCTGCTTAGGACATATGTTTTCATCTCCAGAACTGGTGTCCTGCAAGACGTACATTAACATATAATCAACTATAAATAATACTAAGAATCATGAAACCAACAACACAGAAAACAAATGGCACACTCTAAATAAATCTAACTGCTTTTTTAATAATATACACATTCCATACTGCTGAACACTTTTGTGACGTGGACTTTTTAATTTATAGAACCTTATTTTTAGACAAGTTCAGCCTAAATGCTATAGTAATTAATTAATTCATTCATTCATTTATTTTTCGTTCCATGGATCCACAATACAAGTGAGATATAGGACATGACCGTACAGTGATTATTCTTAAAATTAATAGAGCAAAAACTAAGTACATAAATAAAAAAAGTATAA